AGTGAATCCGTCCAGCTCAACGCACCAAACTCAGATCAAACTGTCAAACTAGGCAGTGCTGATCAGATATGGATCCAGATTATCTTACTGCGTTGACTTCTTCTCATGTCAAATATTTTTAGAAACATATTTTAATGTACTGTTTATTATTACGTGTATTACGTGAACGTAAGCCGCCATTATTTAAAAAAATCTTTACATTTTATTTTAATTTTAATACATAACACAGGCCACACCATAATTACATAAGAATAGAAATACCCCTGGGGGCCACACAACACGGCGGAGCCATCCCCTGACACACCACAAGATCAACATCATAACCGGAAAGGCTGAAAAACTCATCAGTCCATCAAAAATCCAAACAAATACCTAAAACAAATACCCCAGCAAACCCCAAGCACCCCAAGAAATCTAAACAAAGCCAAACAAACTCCTACACTTACATTACCTACAGACCTATGCACTTCTACCCAGACAAACTTTACAAAACAATATTGTATAATGAAATTAAAAGTTTGTAGCTCTCTTTATTTTACTTGTCAAAATAAAAAAAAATAAAAAAATTTAATGTCATGCAAATAAATAAATAAATGTATTAAAAAGCACACTGTGTCAGTGTCACATTTTTCTAACCTAGACATAAAATGTGTTTAGGAAGGTGCCGTAATGATGAGGTTGGGCTGGATGGATGAGTCAGACAAACACAGGACTTTCACCTGGGCAGGCAACTGTTTGAGTCCCGTGTGAAACCAAATGTCAACGTCGACTTGTCAGATACGAAACATTACTTATGATCTTTTCCCAAAGCTAACCAAGTAGTTTCTGGTGCCTAAACCAAACCAAACTGCAACTTTGATACGCTTTATTTTGAAAGTGTAACCGAATATTGTAAAGTTGCTATTTTTTATTTTCAGCTATTTTTTATTTTCAGAAAAAAGGTAATATGTGCCAAACAGCATTATAATGAAGTACTGTAGTGCTGCACAGTACTTCATTATAATGCTGTTTGCCTATAAATCTGCAAATCTTGTTGTCCAGATGTAAGAAACAATATTGGTTTCGTATGACCCCAATAAATGTCACATCATGATGTAAATAGTTTTTATCAGTGAAAATGAAAATTATTATGCAAAACGGATCATTCCCATTCCCAATACTCCCATTCACAGTAATTGTCATATAATTGTCAAAATAATCGCCATTTGATTAGTTTTTACCACATCGTGCAGCCCTAATTTATATATATGCATTTATATGTGTTTTACTGTGTTTGTGTGTGTGTGGGCTGCAGTTGGTTTATTGCATTTTAATGGATGCTCTGCTTTTTCTTCAGGCCAGGGCGTTTGGTCCTTATGTAAGTAGTGTAGATGGAGTTAACCACTACAAAAGTGTGAAACCCACTGTGCATCACAGTGTCATGCAGAGAAATAATGCATCTAAGAATAAAATATACTTTACACGCTCAATATTAATAATGCTCAAGGAAGCAAGGAATAAAATGTGTGAGGTGAAAGTACAAAAGATATCAGCACAAGTGCAGGAATGTAGAGAAAGCAAAATCACTTGAAAAAGAAATTCAAATTCTCTTTTCAGGCATCAGCCTGGAAAAATCATTAGTGATGAGTCATTCTCCAGAATCTCTGTCCTCACCTGTCACTGTTGGTGCTGCGGCATGCTTTTGTTTTGTTTTTGGAGCAAAAGCACAATGCAGCAACCTTCCACTGCTCACCCCACTGTACCCCACTTTGTAATTCCGCCCACACAGGCCAGTGTACAATTAACCATGGACCATGAAATAACAGGTTCCTGCTGTCAGATATCGGGGCTGAAACATGTCAGAGCTGTGATTAGCCTTGGGGTCAGATTCCACAGCTGTGATTGGCTAATTTCAGATGTAATGGAACGTTCACATGCTCATCATTAACTTGTGTTTGAGTTTCTATCTGGTTTACAACACAGAGGGGCTTTGTCATTGGTCCAATCCATTTAATGAATTTGAGCCATGATGGATGTATTAACTTGTCATTACTTTCTCATTGTTTGGGCTCCCACAGACCCCTCTGCAGTATGTGGTAAAATAATAACAATTGCAACCAACTTTTTTCTTTAAAGTGTAACTACATCCTTCACTTTTGCTCGCTCCCTCCCTCTCAGCAAATTAACAGTGACTAGAGGACATGGCATGGACAAACAGGCAGTGATTGACAGACTGACCAGAGTAGTGTAGCAGGAACAGCAAGCTGGTTGTCAGAGCTAATGAGCAGCTACTGTCAGATTTAATAGTCACTAGAAGCACATTAATGCCCATTTGCATAGGTTGCTGTATGGTACCTGTGTGTAGCTGAGCTAACGGATGTGCTCTCTGGCACGTGTGTGTGGGGGGACTGTCAGTGGGATCAAGGTAAAGCTTGCAGTCAGGTGATGTTTCTACAGCATCTAAAGCACAAGTCAGAACCACTGCACCAGAATAGGAAAATACTAAGTAGAGTTAGCCAAACCTAGGATAAACGCCTGTGAATAATGCGTCTCAATCTGTATACATTTGACTAGACTCCCACTCAAAGAGGAGGCTGGGGAGCACAGAACACTGTTTTTTTTTTTTATAGAAGCAGTAGTCCCAAACAGTCAAATGTGTCAGCATTGAACTTACTAGATTCAGGGTGACTACTACTACTACTACTACTACTACTACTAATAATAATAATAATAATAATAATAATAAATTGTATTTATAGAGCGCTTTTCTAGGAACTCAATGACACTTCACATAAGTAAAAAAAAAAGGTAATGAGAAACAACACACTAAAAAATATAGATATATATCTACAACACTCAACAACGAATAAAACATTAAAAGCAGTTCTGAAGAGGGGGGTTTTGATCAGCAGCATTGATGAGGTTCACCACAGTATAGTGATATAATTCAGTCTACAGCTCAAAAAACATGTTTTAGGTGGAGCACCTTAGTGCAATAGTGTGTACACACCAAATGCAAAATTAAATTACGCCTCCTTTACTCGCAGGATCATTTGTGTTTACTTACTAAATGCCACTCGTTTTAGTAAAGTAAAACCGAATTCAGTAACACTTATTTTCAGCACTTATCAGGTAGTCCAACTTCCTCTCTTACTTTTCTCCAAGCTGTCTCCTGATGTAGTATCACAGCACTCTGGATGCACACAGACGGCTACAAGTGGAGATGGCACTTCCATGGCTCGCAGCAGACAGGTTGGGAAGAGAGAGTGAAGATAAATCCACTTTCCCAGAAGTTTAAAAATTAACTCTAAGCTCTCCTCCGAGAATGGGTCATATTTGGCTGGCTCTGCATTCGTTATTTGTTTTTAAAACATCAATTAATCGATTTAGTACACAATGATTACTTAAAATCATATTATGCATATGGGCAGTGGGTGGGCCGCAAGTAAATTAGGGGGGCCAATGCCCCCCTTGTCTCCCCTTGGTGAAAACCCCCTGTTTATATGTTATGTCTCATGAATTCTATGCTGCTATTTGTGAAGACCCACAACACACTCATGTGTGCAAGTTGTGTGTACAGTTATTTGTGATTTGGGACTCTTATGTAAAAAGTACTGTCAGCACTGACCACAGATACAGAGCAGATGGATAATGTTGTATTTAACCATATTTTACAGCTGAGAACTTCACACAGAAGTAATGCTAAATTTTCTATCAGGTGAAAATCATGTTTCACTCACAAGGTGGGAAAATCGTCCTGCATCTGCAGCTTTGCTGCATTTAGTATTCTTGTGGGGTAGCCAACATATTGGGAAATCATTTATAAATACATA